CTGCTGTAATCTCTCTTGTTTATTTTCTTTCTCCTCCAACCACTGCTGTAATCTCTCTTGTTTATTTTGTTCTTCGAGCTGCCATTGTTGCAGGTTTTCTTGCCAATGCTGTTGTCTCTCTTCTTGTTTCTTTTCTTTTTCATCCAGCAACTGCTGTAATCTCTCTTCTTGTTTATTTTGCTGTTCGAACTGCCACTGTTGCAGGTTTTCTTGCAATTGCTGTAATCTCTCTTCTTGTTTCTTTTCCTTTTCCTCCAACAACTGCTGTAATTTCTCTTCTTGTTTCTTTTCTTTTTCCTCCAACATCTGCTGTAATCTCTCTTCTTGTTTAATTTCTCGTTCTTCTTGTTTCTTTTCTTTTTCCTCTAACAGCTGTTGTAATTTCTCTTCTCGTTCTTCTTGTTTCTTTTGCTGTTCTTGTATTGCTGCCATCAAGTCTGCTATGTTGTAGTTTGATTTGCCGCTTCTCGTTTCCATTTTGTTTTGTCCCACTCTCTGACACCAATTTGTTACGCCTCCAGTCGTTAATTAACTTTCCGTAACTTCGTTCCGACGAAACTTTAGCGACACAAGTCCTTACTTAATAAAACTGGTTTATTCTTTCTGAATATAACTTTACCGATACTCTTATTTTCAACAGTCGCTCTATAACAAACGTTTTAACAACGAACGTTAACTTCAACAATACTTCTGCCTGCAGTTCAATTACTCACTACCTACACACACTTTGTTGTCACGTTGTGAGCGTCCTATATATATACCAGACTGACATATATCTAGTAAATGCTAGGGCATTCACGAAGGAACAAGATATTTCTAGAAAATAGGTGGCGTGACACTAGTCACGTGACCTCGCCGACGCAACAATACCAAGTAGGTATCGATGAAAAGATTTTGTGTTGTATCTCAGACCTCATAAACACAAGAAAAATGAAAGTACAATTTAATGATACTCTTTTCAGAACTTACCCTCTTTACCAGGGAATTTCCCAAATAGTTTATCTAAATAATATTCATAAAAAATTCCCCAAAGACATTAACATTTCAACCTATGCTGATAATATAATAATATAGACATCCAAAAAGGACTCGAACAGAGTACAAATAAATATTGTTACGTCTCCGTTTGTTAATTGATTTTTCCGTAACTTCTTTCCGACGAAAT